ACACAGTACAAAGCTAGACAAGACACAATGGCGACATGAGGGCCATATATATCAAATAAAAGGGGTCACATGACATAATCCAACCAATCAGAACAAGACACATGAACTAGAAAACCATTCAGAACATGACACATAGCACAAATGAACCAATAGCAGGATCACATGAGGGCAAGGGAAGCACATAACATGACAGGAACCATGACTATGATAAAAAAAACAAAATAAAGACATGAAAACAATGAACATGAAATAAAACCTAAACAAATGTTATATATTCCCCACTCTAAGGGTGGCACCTGCTGCCCTAGTGAAACACCCACCCTAAAACCAAACAAAAGAGTCCAGGAGGGTGGTGGAGTGGAGGTGGTCTAGGGGGTGAGGTGGAGGACCAGGCCCGTGAATCAGAAATGAACCATGGCATGGATTGTGGAGCAGTGGCATGCCTGGACCGTGGAGTAGTCAGCAAGACCATGGGCCATGGAACAAGGGTAGGTCTAGACGTGGAGCAGTGGGCAAGACCATGGGCTGTGAAGCAGTGCTGGACCTGGTCCGTGGAGCAATGGCAGGTCTGAAACATGGAACAGAGGTGGGCCTGGACCGTGGAGCAATGAAGGAAACCATGGACTGTGGAGCAGAGGTGGGCCTGAACCGTGGAGTATTGGAAGACCTAGTCCGTGGAGCAGTGGCAGAGACCATGGTGAAGCCGGCAGAGCAGGAAGCCAGGGTGAAGCCAAAGACCACCAGGGCGGAGCAGGTGGGACAAAGGATCCCCACGGTGGAGCAGATGACCACCAGAGTGGAGCCAGCAGAGCAGGAAGCCAGAGTCGAGCAGGAAACCAAGGTGAAGCCTGCGGAGCAAAAGATCACCACAGGTCAGGAGGCCATCGCGGAGCAGTGACATGGACAGACCACCAGAGTAACCTTGAACGGTCTCAGTGGCAGTAACATGACAGCCAGAGTGTTCAAAGATGGCCTCCATGGCCGTGGCAGAACAGACAGAGAGTTCAGAGATGGCCTCCTTGGCCATGACAGGACAGGCAGAGAGTTCAGGGAAGGCCTCCTAGGCTGTGACAGGACAGGCAGAGAGTTCAGGGAAGGCCTCCTTGGCCGTGACAGGGCTGACTGTGAGTTCAGAGATGGCCTCCCTGGCTGTGACAGAACTGGCAGAGGGTTTATGTTTGACCACTGTGGTCAAAACAGGACAGGCAGGAAACTCACAGGTTGGCGCCAACACAGGACTGAGTTCAGGGGCTAGAGAGATGACCACCAGAGTGGAGCCAGCACAGCAGGAAGCCAGAGTCGAGCAGGAAACCAAGGTGAAGCCTGCGGAGCAAAAGATCACCACAGGTCAGGAGGCCATCGCGGAGCAGTGACATGGACAGACCACCAGAGTAACCTTGAACGGTCTCAGTGGCAGTAACATGACAGGCAGAGTGTTCAAAGATGGCCTCCATGGCCGTGGCAGAACAGACAGAGAGTTCAGAGATGGCCTCCTTGGCCATGACAGGACAGGCAGAGAGTTCAGGGAAGGCCTCCTAGGCTGTGACAGGACAGGCAGAGAGTTCAGGGAAGGCCTCCTTGGCCGTGACAGGGCTGACTGTGAGTTCAGAGATGGCCTCCCTGGCTGTGACAGAACTGGCAGAGGGTTTATGTTTGACCACTGTGGTCAAAACAGGACAGGCAGGAAACTCACAGGTTGGCGCCAACACAGGACTGAGTTCAGGGGCTAGAGCAGGCTCTGGAACAGATTCATGGATAGGGGCAGGCTCTGGAGTAGACTCATGGACTGGAGCGCAGTGTACAGCCCAAACACACAAAAGGGCAAGCGCCATCATGGGCAGTACAGCTGATGGAGGGAGGACCTCCGGGTTGGACAGCACTAAGGCCACGGAGTTTGAGTGCGTTGAGGCCACCGGGGTGCCAGCCGCTCATACCGACATAATTGGTGGATCATTACACTGGCAATTTGTCTTATCTGTCTTGGCCCAAGCTCCACATACGCAGGAGTTTGTGTCCTATAGCCCCCCCCAAAAAAATCCTTAGGGGGAATTTCCATGGCGGCCTTGGCGTGACGGGTTCTGCCGTGGCGGCCATCTTGGCTGATGACTCAAGCGTGGCAGCCATGACGTGGTGAGGCCCTGGCTTGGCAAGCATGACGTGAGCAGCACCTGGCATGGCAGGCATGACATGACGAGGGGACTCAGGCTTGGTGGGTACTGTGGGATTGCAGGGCTCCTCATCCGCACTTCCCACAGTAAATGATGAGCCACATAACAGCATGGCATAAACTACTGGGGGTGTGCACCCGAGTTTGGAAGACAGCATTCACATCATCCAAACGTACCGAACTCTGATGTCAATAAAACCCATATGCGCACCAAAAGTGCTAGTGTGAAAGCACTCTTTATTAATAAACCAAAATGTGATACAAAACATGAACTAAACTAGATCTTGACAAGACCATGAACAAAACTCACCAACAGCAGGTTACACAGTACAAAGCTAGACAAGACACAATGGCAACATGAGGGCCATATATATCAAATAAAAGGGGTCACATGACATAATCCAACCAATCAGAACAAGACACATGAACTAGAAAACCAATCAGAACATGACACATAGCACAAAGAAACCAATAGCAGGATCACATGAGGGCAAGGGAAACACATGACATGACAGGAACCATGACTATGATAAAAAAAACAAAAAGAAATAAAGACATGAAAACAATGAACACGAAACAAAACCCAAACCTACGTTACAGAGATATAAACTCGGTCTGCATCTATTTTCACACTTCCTCTGCAGCCAGAAGTACCACTTCATGATTACAAAAGATAACATGCCACTTACACATGATTGAATATAATCAGCATGGCTGATTCTTCAAAGTGAGCACAAGGCCGGTTCAAACACTCTAAACACACCACATCATTATCCCTTACATAGAGGACAATGTATTTGAACTCAAGGAGGAAACCATTTTCAAGCACCAATGTAATTACACCTCTGAATTCAACTACTTATCCACTAAATGTGCATTTATGTATTCTAAACATTTAGTTTAAGCTGCTGAGATTAGGAATACTCAGAGGTGCTCATTCATAGCTCAGGAGATTGAGTTCTCATTTATATTTCATTTAACTTTGTTTCAGATCTTTCTCTGAAATTCCATGGGAGCACTAAAATAAACACAAATGAGACAACTGTGGACAAACGGTAAGAGTATAGCGCCATAAAATGAATGTGGGGAGAATTAGCCAGACAATCCAGTGCTGAGGCAGTTTGATAAGAAAATTTTATTTATTCCAGATTTTGCATGTCTAAGCAAATCTGAATTATTTTTTTTTAGTTCTCTTCTGCAAACTGGAGATATGAGATTACTCTGGTCCGTTTCGCAGGAGAAGCAGGGGTCTTCGTTTGCTCTCCATTGATCTCATTGGTGTCTCAGAGAAACAAATGAGATATTCAAGAGATATTTTTATTTATTTATCTATAATATGGGTCAGTCAAGAGTTTTTCCACACAAATTCCTAAATGCACACCAGAAGGAAACTTCAAGTTAGACCTGATGAGAATCCAATGACTTATTCATGAAAAAAATGTCTCGATCTCAATATACATACAATTAGTTATATTGTGTTTGATGGTTTGCTAGATACAGATGAGTCATTTTTATTAGTTATGACATGCTGAAAAGATCTGTATATTGTCTTCTGACTTAACTATACAGCAATTGTTGTAACTTTTCATGAATCCTACACTCTGGCTAACATGGCATTATGCAATAAGTATGTAATAGCCTAGCAATATTTTTTAATGCATGTGTACCAAATTAAACTTTGTACATATCTCATATCTATGTAGCTAAAAAGTACATATCTAATTCGCTACCAAAGCATGTGAGCGAAGCGGAGCGGTGTGACGCGCCGCTACGTTTTCCACTCTATGGACGTGCGCTCCACTCAGTCGCTCTAACCGCCCAAGCAAGCGCTCCGCTAATATTCCGCTCACGCTCACCGTAAACTGATTCCCGCTCAGATCCCGCTCCGTTCTGTAAAGAACAAATTTGCGTGCATTATATTAGATTATACATTACTGCTGCCTATATCTAGCCTACATTCTGTAGGACTACCTATTGGTTCGGGTCAGTTTTTTTTAAATAATATTTTAATAGGCCTAAGTGGTGTTGGCTAATATCTTCTGTACTCTGTAGTTCTGTATTTAGGCCTATATACAGCTGTGTCTTAGCGTAGGTCTACAGTTTAACTGAGATTATTCATACGGAGCTCCGAATATAATTCGAATTAACAATTCGTTTCTACGACGTCAGCAGGTTTTATTATTTTTTTAATTGAGCGAGCGGCGCTGAGTGTATTGAGCGAGCGGAGCGGAATCTTCAGAAAGGCGCTCTGCGCTCTTAAGGAAATATTACCACTCCGCTCACCCTCCGCTCCGCTCACATGCTCTGTTCGCTACTGAAGTGAAGTGAAGTGAAGTGAAGTGACATGTGGCCAAGTATGGTGACCCATACTTGGAATTAGTGCGCTGCATTTACCCATCCAAAGTGCACACACACAGCAGTGAACACACACAAACCGTGAACACACACCCAGAGCAGTGGGCAGCCATTTATGCTGCGGCGCCCGGGGAGCAGTTGGGGGTTCGGTGCCTTGCTCAAGGGCACCTCAGTCGTGGTATTGAAAGATACAATTACAGACTAGCAGAATTAGAAAAGAAACCTAAAACCCTTTATTTTGGGCTTATAAGCTCTTAATAAGTCAAGTCAAGTCACCTTTATTTGTATAGCGCTTTATACAATACTGGTTGTGTCAAAGGAGCAGTAAAGCATAAATAACAGTAAAGCAAACATTTTTAACCAAGAAGGATTGCTTTACCAACGCCACACTCTTGTAATTCGCCAACATGCTAACGCCACATGTAAACGATGTTTGCAAACAATGAACCTGTTACATGGCGGGAACAACATTACTTACTTGAATCTCCCTTGGCAGTGTTGACACTGATCCCCAGCCCATCCGCGTTCACAGACGCAAGTTCCATTGATACATCTACCAAAGATGCAGTTTTTATCACAGGTTTTAGAATAGGATCCTTCAGTGCACACTAACAAGTAAAACACCATAAAAGTGAACAGGTACGTCCTGAGCTCCTGAATCCTGAAGCGTGGAGACATTCTTCTTCTGCCAAAATCCATCCTCCTGATCTCCTCTGATCTAAGCACAGAGATGAGGTTACAGCCTTCACTAGACTTTAGCTTTTAAACTGTGAATTCTCCACTCCTCGTAGTTTTGTGACAATTTGTAGTTTGTTGTCATACAATGCATGAATTTATTAACGTTATATCCAATATGTAACGTAACTTTCTCCAGTCTGCTCTGAGGTAAAGCATCCACCGGCGCGTCATTCCCCCCAAAAAAGCCTTGTTGTCCAAAACCGCCTCATTTATATCATTCCAGAAATAGCGACATTTGAGATACAGATGTGCAGTTATTTTCGTAAGCTGTGCCTCCACCGTCGCAAAAATAACAGCATGATTTCAGCATGACTTCTCAAACAATAAGCCTTGCTGATGTTGCCACTTCGCATTTGCGTCGCTCAGAGATGCACTCGGAGGGGAATGACAGCGCAACTCCCATCCAAAACAATGTGCAGTTCCCCGCTGCTGCTGCTGCTGCTGCTGAGCTCAGAGCCGACGAATCGCACTACTGGAAAGGTTTGGCTTATGAATATTAAGTAGATTACGCTGACGTTGCTTGGTAACTTTCCTGTAGCGTCCAATCAGTCACGTGACGCAATTAATATTCAAGAGCCAATCCTTTATCATAGCAGGATAGGAAACTCCTAGTCGTCTTACATTTAAAGCAATAGCGCCCTATTAATTTGTGCAGAACATCGCGTCAAGCGGGTCATCATAAAAGTTGTGGTTTCGTGCATTACAGATATTTTGGGGGGAGGTACGGAAGCTTTAAGAGGCCATGCATTTTTTGGCTTGTTTTGTCAAAGTCACAACTTAAAGGGATATTCCACCCAAAAATGATAATTCTGTCATAATTTACTCTCCTCATGTTGTTCCAAACTGTATGTTTTATTTCTTCTGCGGACTACAAGAAGATTTTGTCAATATTTTCATTATCTCAATATAAACGTTTTTTTCTCTCTCTCTCTCTCTCTTTTCTTCTTATTTAGCCTATCTAGAGCAGTGCTATTTATTATTAGCAATGTGCTATGTAAGGGATAATGTACATCCAGCCGGTTGTTATCTCAGAATAAACCCCTTCAGGCTGATACAAGACCCCTCCGCGATCACCCTGTCAGGGTTTATTCTGAGATAACAACCGGCTGGATGTACATTATCCCGGTTATTACACGGCTACTTGCCACATAAGTAAATAATTAGACGCGAAATATTGATTTGAGTTGAAATATTTGGACGCAAAGCTTCCGTGAAGACAGCAGTTGCGAGCAAGCGGCAAATTCAAACTAGACGGACATTTAAGGGAAACGGTGCAGTCAAACCACTTATTACACAACATTTCACCACAAAAATAATTAAGGCAATAAAATAATTAAGACGAAAATGTTTTAAAACCTTACCAGTTTGTTAGTTCTTTTATAATCCATTACAGCGTACAAAACAATCGTAGCAAAATGGCAGCAGCTGCGTTTGTATGATACCAGGATGACATAATTAAATAATTGCACACCATTTTGAATCGAGTTTTAATATTTTATTAGCTTTTTTAAAAAAAAACCCCGCAAAGCTTCCACCAAGAAAAAAACAGTTCAAGCAAGAGTACAGCGCCGACTGCTGTTACCCGGATGAGCCTGTGTTATTAGCTTTTACCGGTTATCATCGAGGGATAGCATACCTCGGAATGTCGCGACTGACCAATCAGAATCAAGTATTCCACAGAGCCGTGTAATAAATAGCATCAATTAATATTTTTAATTTCAAAACGTTTTCATTTGAGCATTTTAGCTTTCATTTTATATTGTCATTTTTAATATATTTTGTATATGTTTTTTATATTTATAATTATTAATATTGTTATTTATTTATTTTAGGACAGTTAGGTTAGCAGTCATTCATTTACTAACTGCTTGTTTTCTTAAAAAAAACACTAGCTTCTCTTATCTTTTTGTATTCTATCTATTTGTTTTCTTTTAATTTATTATACAATTAACAAAAGCAAAAAAGGCCTGTAACACTAGCTTGCTCTATTCTTTTTCTATTCAATCTGTTTTCTTTTTATTTATTATATAATTTAAAACAACAACAACAACCAAAAACCTTGCTATGTGTATGTGTTAAGCTAACTGAGACTTGTTATAGCACTTGCATAGCATTGCTCTCTTGTTGATTTTGATTGCTTCTATTGTCTTCATTTGGATTAAAGCGTCTGCTAAATGTCTAAATGTAAATGCAATTTTAGTGCTTATATTCAATTAGCTGCCAAGGCAACATTTCTAATTCTAATTAATTTAAGTTAATTAATTTAAAAAATGTCATCTAATATTTATATTTTATTTTATTTCATTTTCATTTCATTTTATTTATTTTTCATTTCAATTAACAAAAATAATTTAATAGTTTTCATTTGTGATGTTTAATAAGTAAAAGGCTAGCAAATACATTACTATACTAGCTGTCAATAAAGCATTAGGCTAACTGGAATGTATCAACATCTCCTGAGAAACATGACATGAGTCATATTTCTGGATCAGCCTTCAGAATATTTATTTTAGGGTGTGTAACTTTTTATCTGCAAAATGGTCTGTTGCCCACTTCTCTGAGCTAAATACTTAAGTTACCTCAAAACATAGATAAGCATAAATGATGGTGTTTTTGAGGATGATGATGATCTGTGTCTCCTGTATGAAACAATTATTTGAATTAGAAGTTGTCCTATTTGGAATAAGCATATTCAAATGAAAATGCAAAGAAATCTGCATTTTGCATTACTGTAAGAAGTTATAGTCCAATTCACTTATACAAGTTTTTGGACATCCTAATATGCAGGACGGTAATGTCAGCAACGTTTCTGGAAAAATACTATACATCTGTTCACAAAATAAAGTAGGCCTACAAATGAATAAATAATAAAATTATTTTAAAGTTTATTGCTGATTTTCTTCTTTTTGCAGCAAACAAACATTGTTATAAAACATTATTTCCATTCCTTTACTTTGTTGACACTGAAAAAGGAATTGCACTGTGCTTTTGAAGGGAATCATTTGCAGTGATCATTACATAGGACAACAGAAAATGACTGTATGCCAGCTAGAGACAAATAAAGATGTATTATCATCTGGGTAAGACGTCAACAACATTCTCAGAAGACCATACTCTCCACTGCACACTCACAGCGGGAGAGAAATAAAATGATCTCACTCACTCAGGAGAACTGCTCTTTCTCTCTCAGGAAAATTAGATTGGCTCTGTAGATAGAAACCAAGGAAAACAGAAAGTTGTGGCATCCTTTGTGTTCATAATAAGGAAAAACCTTTGATATTAGCCATATTTGTACAACTTTATGTATCCTGCCTGTCCCACTGGAAAGGAACAAAACTGAGGTTGATTTCAGGGCACAGGAAGCCAGCTACAACAGGAATTGCCATATGAAGATTTGCCAGCTAAAGATTTGAAGAAATTAAGTAAATTTCATGTCAATTTAGATGTTAAAGTAAGTCATGAGCACATGCAAAACACATTGAGGAATGACAGCAAACCCAGGCCTCGGTACTCTTGGGAAGTGCACTGTAATATATAATAGCTAGTAAAAAGAAACTGAAATGGCTTATCAGTCGCTTAAGTATTACATTTGTTTAATCCAAAATGCAAGGCCCATGAGACAGTTTTGGTTTACTTCGCTGTGTTTTAGATTTTCCCTCTTGGATAACTTTAAGTAAGTCATAGTGAATACATCAGCCAAAGCACCTGCAATGAAAAGTGGTTGTGGAACACTGACTAGGAGGATAAACATGTGATATCACATTCTGTAAATTTATAGCAGAAACAGATTGCGCAATAGAGCCTACCATCTGTCCTGACTGCAGAACACACTCTCTCTTCTCTTTTGTGGGAGCTAGTGAAGGGCAGAATCCTCCTCTGTCTGTCAAACAGCTGACTTGCTCTTTAGTCAAGAATGTTTCTAACCTTTACTTTTTTATTGTATTTTCCCCTCCATAATCTCTCTCCTTTCTCATTCACTTACATTTAGTGTCTCTCTATTTCTGAAATTACTGTCATGAAATTTAGTCTTATAAGTTCCCTCCTGGTGGAATGACTTGCCCAAATCAATCCCAGCAGCTGAGTCCTTAGCCGTCTTCAAGAAATGACTAAAAACACATCTGTTCCACCTTTATTTGACCCTCTAACTCTAGCACTTTCTATTCTATTTTAATTCTACTTTATCTATATTTATCTTCTTTATATATATATGTGTGTGTATATATGTGTGTATGTATAAGTGAATATGTGTATGCATATATGTATATATATATATATACACCTTGCTATGTGTACTGTGTTAGGCTAACCGAGACTTGTCATTTGCACTTATATATTGTTGCTCTTTTGTTCGTTTTGACTGCTTTTATTGTCCTCATTTGTAAGTCGCTTTGGATAAAAGTGTTTGCTTAATGACTAAATAAATAAATAAATTTAGATTTAGTCTCACATAATGCTCTCGTTTTTTTTTTTTGGATATTGTCTGTATTATAACCTTAACAGCTACCAGATAATGTAAATAACTGCAAGTGGAAAAGTGTGGAAACTATGCTTATTTAATAATAATAATATTAATAATAATAGCTGTTGTTGTTGTTTACTTTATAATAATAATGATTATTAAACCTATAAATCAGTAATCCAGATTAAACAACCATCACTGCCATCAGACCTACACAACTGTCTATTATACAATAACAGATCCAAAAAGGGAGGGCTAGGTTGCATTATTTTAGTCTTTATCATGTGACTGATGCACAAATTATGGGCAGCTGGAGATTGCTATGAAAACTGAAGAAAGGACAGTGTGTATGTTTATGCCTAGTGTTACATTACAATAGGCTGTCTAAAGGAGGCTTTACCAGGAGATAATAAATATGCAGTATCAAATATTTAGAATTCCATTAGTTTCCATTCAGTATTCTATAAATATATGTTACAGTGATTAAAGTGTGTATTCTACTATGGGTACCTTTAAAACATGAAAGTTAAATTTTAGCTATAAAGTTACATTATTGAATTTAGTAAGTTATTAAGAACTTAGTAAGTTATTATTATGAAAATCATATATTAAAAAGCTGTAGTGGTGAGCCCCAGATACAGATGAGCCCCAGATACAGATCCCCTGTAAAGACCTTGTCTCAGACGACCACCGGGACAAGACCACAGGAACCAGATGAGTCCTCTGCACAATGTGACTTTGCTGCAGCCTGAAATTGAACTGCTGGTTTCGTCTGGTCAGAGGAGAACAGGCCACCCGACTGAGCCTGGTTTCTCCCAAGGTTTTTTCTCCATTCTGTCACCGATAGAGTTTTGGTTCCTTGCCGCTGTCGCCTCTGGCTTGCTTAGTTGGGGACAATTCATTTCCAGCGATATCGTCGACTTGATTGCAAATTATTGCAAAGATACTATTTAAACTGAACTGAGCTGGATGATGACATCACTGAATAGAATGA